GCCGGTCTTGAAGTAGAGCGCCTCGTCGACCTGGCTCTTCTTCCAGCCAGCGCTTAGCAGCACACCGTCAAGAGCCCTGTACCACAGCAGCGGCGACTGCTTCAGCCCGTAGAGGCTTTTCAGCAGCTTACACACCCGGCCGGTCCCGTCGTCGAAGTAGTCCGGCTGGTACATGTAGAGCACTCTGTCGAGCTTGCTCTGCAGGAAAGCGTTCTTCATGTCAAGCTGCATCAGGTTGAGGTCGAGGACGGCGACTATGCTGAGGAAGATCCTCAGCGTGCCCTTTACGACCAGCCTCGCCAAATATAAAAATCTAGTGAGCTAATAAGGTTCGAAAGGAATCTAATGCATATGTATATGGAAAATGGTGCATTGGCCAAGTCGGTCAATATGGGAACTTAGAATGCAAATGCCTGGGAGAACGAAACCGCTCAGATCTCGCATAGTACACGGAATCTAGTGGTCTCACTCAAATATAAGGTAGGAAATATATTAATTGAGTGAACGTAAGGGTTTGAAAGGTAACTAACGCACATGTGTGGAGAAAATGGTCCATCGGCCAGTCTGGCCGGCATTTCGCACTTATAGTGCAAGTGGGGCCAAGGAGAACGGAAACGCTCGTTTCTCAAAAAGTAGAGGGAATCTAGCGGTCTCACTTGATCAGAAGGTGGGAAATATATAAATATAGTGAGCTCATAAGGTTCGAAAGGAATCTAATGCATATGTATATGGAAAATGGTGCATTGGCCAGGTCGGTCAGTATGGGAACTTCTAGTGCAAATGCCTGGGAGAACGGAACCGCTCAGATCTCGCATAGTACACGGAATCTAGTGGTCTCACTCAAATATAAGGTAGGAAATATATTAATCGAGTGAACGTAAGGGTTTGAAAGGTAACTAACGCAGATGTGTAGAGAAAATGGTGCATCGGCCAGTCTGGCCTGCATTTCACACTTATAGTGCAAGTGGGGCCAGGGAGAACAGAAACGCTCGTTTCTCAAAAAGTAAAGGGAATCTAGCGGTCTCACTCGATCAGAAGGTGGGAAATATATAAATGTAGTGAGCTAATCGCGCTCGACGGTGTCGTCGATGCGGTACTTGGTCGTCAGCACCCATCGGTTCTTCATAATGTTCACCCCGCGTGGGGCGTTCGACCAGCTCCCAAGTCCCCATAGCGATGAGGCTACGGATTTCTTCTTCCATGGCGGCCTTCACCGCCTCGCCCTTCCAGCTTGACAGCGCCTCCTTCACCGTCATCGTGGCGATGTCCCAGCGGTGTTCGGGGTCGGCATGCACGTCGGGGTCGAGCTCCGGCAGGTCTTCATCCTCCTCGGCATCGTCGTACAGCAGGTCGTCGTCGACCTCGTCGTACACCGTGGTGAAGGCAGCTGGCGGTAAGCAGGCGTGAAAGCTCAACCGCTCCGGCGGCCGTCGAGCTCGACCTGAGCGACGCAGCTCAGGCTTCGTGATCGGTACTTCCATCACGTCGCTGTCGGTGGACTCCTCACCCGCCGATAGCTCCCCTTTCGTTTCAAGTAGAACGTCGTCGACCAGCTGCTTCGACCCTTCGACCGGCTGTTCCTCTGCTGCTACCTTCGACAATTCTCCTGTCGACCGCTCCGGCTGCCGCTCCCCTATCGAGTGTACCCCTGCCGATGGCTCCTCTTCGACCGGCTCCCCTGTCTTCGACGGCTTTCCATCGTAGTCATCGAGCTTGGCGCCTTGTCGTCCGCCGGCGATGCCACTGGCCGGCGCTACAGGCGACGCCTCCTGGCTCCCCTCATCGTCGGTGGCCGACACAGGTGTCGGCGCAGGCAGATCGGCGACGGGAGACGGAGGGGCAAGAACAGGGGGAGGTGGAAGGACCGCCACAGCATCTTCATCAGCAGGCTCGTCGACTTCGGCGAGCAGGGGAACCGTCGTCGTCGAGGTGTCCGTCGGCGGGTGCGCCTGCGTCCGCTCCGACGCCGGCCCATACTTCGCCTTCCACACCTCCAGCGATAGCGTCTCATAGAAGATCACCTCGACCGACGTGACCATCTTGTTGTCGGTCAGGTCGAGCACCTCCCAGCCCTTGCTCGCTGGCGACACGCCCAGGTGAAGTCCCCAGCGAGCCTTCGGCGCCAGCTTTCCACCTCGTTGCTGCTCGGGAACCATGAACTGCACCATGCAGCCCCACACCCGCGCCAGCGTAAGGTCGGGCCTCTGTCCGGTCAGCAGCTGGTACGGAGTCGTCCCCGGCGGCGTCGTCGACCGCTCCAAGCAGTTGCGCACCCAGACAGCTTGTCGTAGAGCCAGGTGCCACCAATGGTGCTTCACGCCCATGTGCAGCAACATCGTCCGCACGGACTCGACGGCCGTACGCATCTCCCGCTCGGCCATGCCATTCTACTGCGAAGTGTAGGGGCACGTCAGGTCGTGGACGATGCCCTTCCCGTCGACGAAATCGGTGAACGCCTTCCCGAGGAATTCCCCCCCTCGATCGGAGCGAAGCGACAGAACCGACTTCTTCGTCTGTCGTTCCACAAGCACCAGCCACTTCTCGAACTCCCGCAGCACGTCGCTCTTCTTAGCGACCGGCATCGCCCATTCAAATCGAGTATGGCGATCCTTCAGCAGCAGGAAGTACAAGCTGCCGTCCTTTGCAGCCACCCGAAATGGCCCGCACAAGTCAATGTGCACGACAGCCAGCGCCTCCGCTGCATCCGAGCCCTTGGCGGGGAAGGTGTGCCGCGCCAGCTTTCCTCCGACGCACGAGACACATGGCGGGTCTGCTCCGGTTGACAACGTGATGTCGAGCCCAGTAGCCACATCATGCTTCGCCGAGCTCTTGATTGTGTCGACGTTGACGTGGGCAAGCCGCGCATGCATCCTATCGGGGGTCGTCTTCGTCGCCGAGGTGATCGTCCGCAGAGCCACCACCTCGGTCGACTACAACTGCGTCGGGCAGGGGCGAAGGTCGGTGCAGAGGACCCGTTCGGTGTAGCGTGCTCGACCAAGCACCTCTCCAGTCGCGTCGACGAGCAGCATCTCATCGCCATCGCCCTGCAGTAGCACGCCGCTCTCCTTCTGCCTGTACGCCTGGAACGTAGAGTACGTCGGGGATGAGGACTCGCTTCCCGGCCTCCCCTTGCAGAGCGACGGTTTCCGCGACCCTCGACGGGCTGCAATGCCCCGTTGAACCCACGCACATGCTTCACCCCATCGCTCGGGCCCCATGTCAATGAAGACCGATTTCGTCCCCATCAGGTGGTGGGAGCACCCGCTGTCGAGCAGCACCGCCATCGGGTTGGCCTGCACAGCTGCTTCCACCGCCTGGAAGTCCTCGCCAGCCTCCGGTGCTAGCGAGACCGTCGGCTCCACTACGCCGACCATCGAGCACGACGCCTCCCCGTCGCCTCGGCTCTTGCCGCTGGAGCTGTCGACGTCCTTCGTCGAGGGCGTTTTCTTCGACGCTTGCTTCTCCTTGCGCGGCTTCTCAGCTCGACGGGGGCAACGACTGGTCGATCGACCGCGGCCTTCCTTGTTGTCGTCCTCGTCACTCTCATCGCGATCAGGGCACTCGAAGGAGAGATGGTCGGGGTCGCCGCAGACCCAGCACTCCCGCCGTCGACCACCACCTCGTCGACCCTTGTCCCGCGTCGACCTCGTTTCGTCGACGTCCTTCGTCGACCGCCCACCTCCGCTACCACTTCCGCCCGGCCTCCCGCGCTGCTCCCGCTGTGTATTCGACTTCGTCGGTGCAGCGTAACTCGCCTGGGGAAGGAACTCCGTGGGCTGCTCTGCCTCCTGCATCGCCTCATCCTGGAGAATGTAGCTGGTGATGGAGTCTTCGTCGAGGGACTCACGCGTGCCGGGCACCATCATCATCCTCTTCATGAGATTGTAGTTGCGCGGCAAGCCCTTGACGATGTGGGTGATGTAGGACGCCGTCGAGTATTCAGCGCCCGCCATTCGCATCTCAGCCAGGATCCGTCGAGCACGGTTGCAGTAATCCGTCGCCGACTCCTGCTCGCCCATCCAAATGTGAGTCACCTTCTCCTCCAGCTGCCCGATGTACAGGTCGTCCCTGACCTGGTACGTCGATATGATGAAGCGCCATGCCTGGTGACCAGCATCCAGTCGCTCTCGACAGCTCCTGAGCGCCAGCTGTACCACCGGCGAGCAGCACCTCGAGATGACCATGAAGGTGAGCAGGTGAGCAGAACGAAACTCCCCGCGCAGCCCGACATCCTCCTCGGGCGGAATTGGCACAGTGCCGTCGGCGAAGCCCTTCAGCCCGGCGACCTCCAGCTGAGGTTCGATCGACTCCCTCCAGGTGATGAGGTCCCGTCGACCTTGCAGCGGAGCGACGGTGATCCGATCCGGCGAAAACTTGAAGTAGCCATACGCCGGTGCAATCCCGCCCGCAGTCACATGCGTCGTCGCCGAGAGCCCGCCACCACTTCGTAGAGGGGAGCGACGTCGAACATCGACGTCGGCGTTCGAGCTGCCTGCAGCCGCCGTCGACCGCTGCACTCGCGCCTGGATTCCGTCGACACCACCGTCGACCTTGATCACTCCTCTATGCCTCGTGCCTTCGCTGCCGCTGACTCGTGCACCACCGTCGACCTCGTCGTCGACGCCACCTTCGTTGCGCACCAGTCGAGGAGAAGCAAGACGGGAAGGGTGTTCCGTCGCCCACTGCGACCGGATGCCCAACTCGGCGATCACTAAGGGGATCGTCCCGTACTCGCCATTCGCGTGGCGTCTCCTCGCGTCAGCCAAACGTGCCTCCAAAGTGTCAGCTACACCCGCATCAACTACGGGGTCGACCATGGCGACTATCGTTGCTGCCGGCCTACGAACGACTTAGTAGGTGCAAAAGTCGGCTCCTATCTGAAGGTCGCGTGTTCGTTCCACGCTCACCGCACCATGCGGAGATTCACTCTACAACGGCAGTGAGCTAGACTACAGGGTTGGCACGAACTACTAGAGGTGATCTCAGCTTTGCTTGGTTCCTTAGTGCTTGCACATTCACAGGAGAAATTGGCAAGAGTTTCCACTAGCAAAGTTGGAATTACAGAATTGAATCAAAGAAGCAATGACAACGATGACTACATCAGGCACCTAGCAACCCTGCAGCTAGCCTGGTCGACTGCCAGCGCAGCTCGGTCGACCGCCTGCCAGCATTGCGTAGAGGAGCCGCGCCAGCACTGCAGAAGGGCGACCTGCCAACAAAGCAGGTCGACGGCGTGCCCCGTAGAACACAGCAGTGCGCGCGCTCGCAGGTGTGCGCAAACGATTGGTCCAACTTGCCTCGTTGGGCATCCGTCGGCTGTTGTCTGCGCCTGACGAGCCACATCGACTTCGGGATACCAGCCCGAAGTCGCCTGCGCCATCGCGATCTCGACGGCATTCGCGTGCCTCCGCAGAACTCGTCGAGCAGGTTACCCAGTCGACCTGGTCGACCCCTGGTGCTCTGGTCGACTCCCAGGTGCCTCCCGTCGACCACTGGGTCTCTCTGGTCGACCACCGGATGCTCCTGGTCGACCACACCTCCCGTCAAGCTACCCCTTGGTCGACGGACCCCTTCCGTCGACGAGAACTGCTCCGTCGACCTCCCGGTCGAACTGCAGTTCCACGGGATGCTCCGTAGACCTCCCTGTCGAACTGTAGGTCGACGGACTGCTTCGTCGACCTCCCGGACGGCTCACCCGTCGCCCAGGCCAGTCAGTTGCAGCTGTCGAGCATCCTGGTCGACAGCAACACCACAGCGGTCCGCTGCCGCTCGACGTAACCTGTCGAGCAGCTATCCCACTGTGAACAGTCGGCTGCTACTCCCGTGCATCCGACCAAGTCGTCGGCGTTGCCCAAGCGAGGGCGGGGCCAACACTCCATTCCCGTTAACATGGGTGAGAGGGAATGAGAGCGTATGAGTGTGGGTGGGAGGGAGTGAGAGCGTCTGAGATTGGGTGAGAGGGAATGAGAGGGTATGAGAGTGGGTGAGAGGGACGGAGAGTGTATGAGATTGGGTGAGAGGGAAAGAGAGCGTGAGAGAGTGGGTGAGAGGGAATGAGAGGGTATGAGAGTGGATGAGAGGAAATGAGAGCGTATGAGAGTGGGTGAGAGGGCATGAGAGCGTATGAGAGTGGTTGAGAGGGAATGAGAGCGTATGAGAGTGGATGAGAGGGAATGAGAGCGTATGAGAGTGGGTTAGAGGGAATGAGAGCGTATGAGAGTGGGTGAGAGGGAATGAGAGCGTGAGAGAGTGGGTGAGAGGGAATGAGAGCGTATGAGAGTGGGTGAGAGGGAATGAGAGCGTATGAGAGTGGGTGAGAGGGAATGAGAGCGTATGAGAGTGGGTGAGAGGGAACGAGAGCGTATGAGAGTGGGTGAGAGGGAATGAGAGCGTATGAGAGTGGGCGAGAGGGAATGAGAGCGTATGAGAGTGGGTGAGAGGGAATGAGAGCGTATCAGAATGGGTTAGAGGGAATGAGAGTGTATGAGAGTGGGTGAGAGGGAATGAGAGCATAAGAGAGTGTGTGAGAGGGAATGAGAGGGTATGAGAGTGGGTGAGAGGGAATGAGAGCGTATGAGTGTGGGTGGGAGGGAATGAGAGCGTATGAGATTGGGTGAGAGGGAATGAGAGGGTATGAGAGTGGGTGATAGGGACAGAGAGCGTATGAGATTGGGTGAGAGGGAAAGAGAGCGTGAGAGAGTGGGTGAGAGGGAATGAGAGGGTATGAGAGTGGATGAGAGGAAATGAGAGCGTATGAGAGTGGGTGAGAGGGAATGAGAGCGTATGAGAGTGGTTGAGAGGGAATGAGAGCGTATGAGAGTGGGTGAGAGGGAATGAGAGCGTATGAGAGTGGGTGAGAGGGAATGAGAGCGTATGAGAGTGGGTGTGGGTAAATGAGAGCGTATGAGAGTGGGCGAGAGGGAATGAGAGCGTATGAGAGTGGGTGAGAGGGAATGAGAGCGTATCAGAATGGGTTAGAGGGAATGAGAGTGTATGAGAGTGGGTGAGAGGGAATGAGAGCGTAAGAGAGTGGGTGAGAGGGAATGAGAGGGTATGAGAGTGGGTGAGAGGGAATGAGAGCGTATGAGTGTGGGTGGGAGGGAGTGAGAGCGTCTGAGATTGGGTGAGAGGGAATGAGAGGGTATGAGAGTGGGTGAGAGGGACGGAGAGCGTATGAGATTGGGTGAGAGGGAAAGAGAGCGTGAGAGAGTGGGTTAGAGGGAATGAGAGGGTATGAGAGTGGATGAGAGGAAATGAGAGCGTATGAGAGTGGGTGAGAGGGAATGAGAGCGTATGAGAGTGGTTGAGAGGGAATGAGAGCGTATGAGAGTGGATGAGAGGGAATGAGAGCGTATGAGAGTGGGTTAGAGGGAATGAGAGCGTATGAGAGTGGGTGAGAGGGAATGAGAGCGTGAGAGAGTGGGTGAGAGGGAATGAGAGCGTGAGAGAGTGGGTGAGAGGGAATGAGAGCGTATGAGAGTGGGTGAGAGGGAATGAGAGCGTATGAGAGTGGGCGAGAGGGAATGAGAGCGTATGAGAGTGGGTGAGAGGGAATGAGAGCGTATCAGAATGGGTTAGAGGGAATGAGAGTGTATGAGAGTGGGTGAGAGGGAATGAGAGCGTAAGAGAGTGTGTGAGAGGGAATGAGAGGGTATGAGAGTGGGTGAGAGGGAATGAGAGCGTATGAGTGTGGGTGGGAGGGAATGAGAGCGTATGAGATTGGGTGAGAGGGAATGAGAGGGTATGAGAGTGGGTGAGAGGGACGGAGAGCGTATGAGATTGGGTGAGAGGGAAAGAGAGCGTGAGAGAGTGGGTGAGAGGGAATGAGAGGGTATGAGAGTGGATGAGAGGAAATGAGAGCGTATGAGAGTGGGTGAGAGGGAATGAGAGCGTATGAGAGTGGTTGAGAGGGAATGATTGCGTATGAGAGTGGGTGAGAGGGAATGAGAGCGTATGAGAGTGGGTGAGAGGGAATGAGAGCGTATGAGAGTGGGTGTGGGGGAATGAGAGCGTATGAGAGTGGGCGAGAGGGAATGAGAGCGTATGAGAGTGGGTGAGAGGGAATGAGAGCGTATCAGAATGGGTTAGAGGGAATGAGAGTGTATGAGAGTGGGTGAGAGGGAATGAGAGCGTAAGAGAGTGGGTGAGAGGGAATGAGAGGGTATGAGAGTGGGTGAGAGGGAATGAGAGCGTATGAGTGTGGGTGGGAGGGAGTGAGAGCGTCTGAGATTGGGTGAGAGGGAATGAGAGGGTATGAGAGTGGGTGAGAGGGACGGAGAGCGTATGAGATTGGGTGAGAGGGAAAGAGAGCGTGAGAGAGTGGGTGAGAGGGAATGAGAGGGTATGAGAGTGGATGAGAGGAAATGAGAGCGTATGAGAGTGGGTGAGAGGGAATGAGAGCGTATGAGAGTGGTTGAGAGGGAATGAGAGCGTATGAGAGTGGATGAGAGGGAATGAGAGCGTATGAGAGTGGGTTAGAGGGAATGAGAGCGTATGAGAGTGGGTGAGAGGGAATGAGAGCGTGAGAGAGTGGGTGAGAGGAATGAGAGCGTGAGAGAGTGGGTGAGAGGGAATGAGAGCGTATGAGAGTGGGTGAGAGGGAATGAGAGCGTATGAGAGTGGGTGAGAGGGAATGAGAGCGTTTGAGAGTGGGTGAGAGGGAATGAGAGCGTATGAGAGTGGGTTAGAGGGAATGAGAGCATATGAGAGTGGGTGAGAGGGAATGAGAGCGTATGAGAGTGGGTGAGAGGGAATAAGAGCGTATGAGAGTGGGTGAGAGGGAATGAGAGCGTATGAGAGTGGGTGAGAGGGAATGAGAGCGTATGAGAGTGGGCGAGAGGGAATGAGAGCGTATGAGAGTGGGTGAGAGGGAATGAGAGCGTATGAGAATGGGTTAGAGGGAATGAGAGTGTATGAGAGTGGGTGAGAGGGAATGAGAGCGTAAGAGAGTGGGTGAGAGGGAATGAGAGGGTATGAGAGTGGGTGAGAGGGAATGAGAGCGTATGAGTGTGGGTGGGAGGGAATGAGAGCGTATGAGATTGGGTGAGAGGGAATGAGAGGGTATGAGAGTGGGTGAGAGGGAATGAGAGGGTATGAGAGTGGATGAGAGGAAATGAGAGCGTATGAGAGTGGGTGAGAGGGAATGAGAGCGTATGAGAGTGGTTGAGAGGGAATGAGAGCGTATGAGAGTGGGTGAGAGGGAATGAGAGCGTATGAGAGTGGGTGAGAGGGAATGAGAGCGTTTGAGAGTGGGTGAGAGGGAATGAGAGTGTATGAGAGTGGGTTAGAGGGAATGAGAGCATATGAGAGTGGGTGAGAGGGAATGAGAGCGTATGAGAGTGGGTGAGAGGGAATAAGAGCGTATGAGAGTGGGTGAGAGGGAATGAGAGCGTATGAGAGTGGGTGAGAGGGAATGAGAGCGTATGAGAGTGGGCGAGAGGGAATGAGAGCATATGAGAGTGGGTGAGAGGGAATGAGAGCGTATGAGAATGGGTTAGAGGGAATGAGAGTGTTTGAGAGTGGGTGAGAGGGAATGAGAGGGTATGAGAGTGGATGAGAGGAAATGAGAGCGTATGAGAGTGGGTGAGAGGGCATGAGAGCGTATGAGAGTGGTTGAGAGGGAATGAGAGCGTATGAGAGTGGATGAGAGGGAATGAGAGCGTATGAGAGTGGGTTAGAGGGAATGAGAGCGTATGAGAGTGGTAAGAGGGAATGAGAGCGTGAGAGAGTGGGTGAGAGGGAATGAGAGCGTATGAGAGTGGGTGAGAGGGAATGAGAGCGTATGAGAGTGGGTGAGAGGGAATGAGAGCGTATGAGAGTGGGTGAGAGGGAACGAGAGCGTATGAGAGTGGGTGAGAGGGAATGAGAGCGTATGAGAGTGGGCGAGAGGGAATGAGAGCGTATGAGAGTGGGTGAGAGGGAATGAGAGCGTATCAGAATGGGTTAGAGGGAATGAGAGTGTATGAGAGTGGGTGAGAGGGAATGAGAGGGTATGAGAGTGGGTGAGAGGGAATGAGAGCGTATGAGTGTGGGTGGGAGGGAATGAGAGCGTATGAGATTGGGTGAGAGGGAATGAGAGGGTATGAGAGTGGGTGAGAGGGACGGAGAGCGTATGAGATTGGGTGAGAGGGAAAGAGAGCGTGAGAGAGTGGGTGAGAGGGAATGAGAGGGTATGAGAGTGGATGAGAGGAAATGAGAGCGTATGAGAGTGGGTGAGAGGGAATGAGAGCGTATGAGAGTGGTTGAGAGGGAATGATTGCGTATGAGAGTGGGTGAGAGGGAATGAGAGCGTATGAGAGTGGGTGAGAGGGAATGAGAGCGTATGAGAGTGGGTGTGGGGGAATGAGAGCGTGATGAGAGTGGGCGAGAGGGAATGAGAGCGTATGAGAGTGGGTGAGAGGGAATGAGAGCGTATCAGAATGGGTTAGAGGGAATGAGAGTGTATGAGAGTGGGTGAGAGGGAATGAGAGCGTAAGAGAGTGGGTGAGAGGGAATGAGAGGGTATGAGAGTGGGTGAGAGGGAATGAGAGCGTATGAGTGTGGGTGGGAGGGAGTGAGAGCGTCTGAGATTGGGTGAGAGGGAATGAGAGGGTATGAGAGTGGGTGAGAGGGACAGAGAGCGTATGAGATTGGGTGAGAGGGAAAGAGAGCGTGAGAGAGTGGGTGAGAGGGAATGAGAGGGTATGAGAGTGGATGAGAGGAAATGAGAGCGTATGAGAGTTGGGTGAGAGGGAATGAGAGCGTATGAGAGTGTTGAGAGGGAATGAGAGCGTATGAGAGTGGATGAGAGGGAATGAGAGCGTATGAGAGTGGGTTAGAGGGAATGAGAGCGTATGAGAGTGGGTGAGAGGGAATGAGAGCGTGAGAGAGTGGGTGAGAGGGAATGAGAGCGTGAGAGAGTGGGTGAGAGGGAATGAGAGCGTATGAGAGTGGGTGAGAGGGAATGAGAGCGTATGAGACTGGGTGAGAGGGAATGAGAGCGTTTGAGAGTGGGTGAGAGGGAATGAGAGCGTATGAGAGTGGGTTAGAGGAATGAGAGCATATGAGAGTGGGTGAGAGGGAATGAGAGCGTATGAGAGTGGGTGAGAGGAATAAGAGCGTATGAGAGTGGGTGAGAGGGAATGAGAGCGTATGAGAGTGGGTGAGAGGGAATGAGAGCGTATGAGAGGGGCGAGAGGGAATGAGAGCGTATGAGACGTGGGTGAGAGGGAATGAGAGCGTATAAGAATGGGTTAGAGGGAATGAGAGTGTATGAGAGTGGGTGAGAGGGAATGAGAGCGTAAGAGAGTGGGTGAGAGGGAATGAGAGGGTATGAGAGTGGTGTGAGAGGGAATGAGAGCGTTAGAGTGTGGGTGGGAGGGAATGAGAGCGTATGAGATTGGGTGAGAGGGAATGAGAGGGTATGAGAGTGGGTGAGAGGGAATGAGAGGGTATGAGAGTGGATGAGAGGAAATGAGAGCGTATGAGAGTGGGTGAGAGGGAATGAGAGCGTATGAGAGTGGTTGAGAGGGAATGAGAGCGTATGAGAGGGGTGAGAGGGAATGAGAGCGTATGAGAGTGGGTGAGAGGGAATGAGAGCGTATGAGAGTGGGGTTGTGGGGGAATGAGAGCGTATGAGAGTGGGCGAGAGGGAATGAGAGCGTATGAGAGTGGGTGAGAGGGAATGAGAGCGTATCAGAATGGGTTAGAGGAATGAGAGTGTATGAGAGTGGGTGAGAGGGAATGAGAGCGTAAGAGAGTGGGTGAGAGGGAATGAGAGGGTATGAGAGGGGTGAAGAGGGAATGAGAGCGTATGAGTGTGGGTGGGAGGGAGTGAGAGCGTCTGAGATTGGGTGAGAGGGAATGAGAGGGTATGAGAGTGGGTGAGAGGGACGGAGAGCGTATGAGATTGGGTGAGAGGAAAGAGAGCGTGAGAGAGTGGGTGAGAGGGAATGAGAGGGTGAGAGTTGGATGAGAGGAAATGAGAGCGTATGAGAGTGGGTGAGAGGGAATGAGAGCGTATGAGAGTGGTTGAGAGGGAATGAGAGCGTATGAGAGTGGATGAGACGGAATGAGAGCGTATGAGAGTGGGTTAGAGGGAATGAGAGCGTATGAGAGTGGGTGAGAGGGAATGAGAGCGTGAGGAGAGTGGGTGAGAGGGAATGAGAGCGTGAGAGAGTGGGTGAGAGGGAATGAGAGCGTATGAGAGTGGGTGAGAGGGAATGAGAGCGTATGAGAGTGGTTGAGAGGGAATGAGAGCGTTTGAGAGTGGGTGAGAGGGAATGAGAGCGTATGAGAGTGGGTTAGAGGGAATGAGAGCATATGAGAGTGGGTGAGAGGGAATGAGAGCGTATGAGAGTGGGTGAGAGGGAATAAGAGCGTATTGCGAGTGGGTGAGAGGGAATGAGAGCGTACTGAGAGTGGGTGAGAGGGAATGAGAGCGTATGAGAGGGGGCGAGAGGGAATGAGAGCGTATGAGAGTGGGTGAGAGGGAATGAGAGCGTATGAGAATGGGTTAGAGGGAATGAGAGTGTATGAGAGTGGGTGAGATGGAATGAGAGGGTATGAGAGTGGATGAGAGGAAATGAGAGCGTATGAGAGTGGGTGAGAGGGCATGAGAGCGTATGAGAGTGGTTGAGAGGGAATTGAGAGCGTATGAGAGTGGATGAGAGGGAATGAGAGCGTATGAGAGTGGGTTAGAGGGAATGAGAGCGTATGAGAGTGGTGTGAGAGGGAATGAGAGCGGATAGAGAGTGGGTGAGAGGAATGAGAGCGTATGAGAGTGGGTGAGAGGGAATGAGAGCGTATGAGATGTGGGTGAGAGGGAATGAGAGCGTAGAGAGTGGGTGAGAGGGAACGAGAGCGTATGAGAGTGGGTGAGAGGGAATGAGAGCGTATGAGAGTGGGCGAGAGGGAATGAGAGCGTATGAGAGGGGGTGAGAGGGAATGGAGCGGTATCCAGAATGGGTTAGAGGGAATGAGAGTGTATGAGAGGTGGGTGAGAGGGAATTGAGAGCGTAAGAGAGTGTGTGAGAGGGAATGAGAGGGTATGAGAGTGGTGAGAGGGAATGAGAGCGTATGAGTGTGGGTGGGAGGGAATGAGAGCGTATGAGATTGGGTGAGAGGGAATGACGAGGGTATGAGAGTGGGTGAGAGGGACGGAGAGCGTATGAGATTGGGTGAGAGGGAAAGAGAGCGTGAGAGAGTGGGTGAGAGGAATGAGAGGGTATGAGAGTGGATGAGAGGCAAATGAGAGCGTATGAGAGTGGGTGAGAGGGGAATGAGAGCGTATGAGAGGGTTGAGAGGGAATGACGGAGCGTATGAGAGTGGGTGAGAGGGAATGAGAGCGTATGAGAGTGGGTGAGGGGAATGAGAGCGTATGAGAGTGGGGTGTGGGGAATGAGAGCGTATGAGAGTGGGCGAGGGAATGAGAGCGCGTATGAGAGTGGTGAGAGGGAATGAGAGCGTATCAGAATGGGTTAGACGGAATGAGAGTGTATGAGAGTGGGTGAGAGGGAATGAGAGCGTAAGAGAGTGGGTTAGAGGGAATGAG